TTCGTCGGGGAACGGGGTCCCCGTCAGGGACCCCGGCGGGGAACGCGGGGAGCGTTCCCCCCCGCGCAATTTGCTCCCCGACTTTTTTGCGGGGACCCCCCCCGTCCAATTTACTCCCCGCGGGGGCCCCCCCGTGCAAAAAATTGCTTCCCGACGAACACTAGTTGTGATCATGCAAGCAACACCGTAATTGATTCAATAAGTTGGCCACCCACGATGATAATATATTTCAAGCTAATCGGTTCAAATATCTTAACAAATCACTCTCAATTACGCATTCTCATGAGAGATCAGCAGTTCATTTCAGTGTCAGTGGAAACTCTCACTGGTGTAATTGAAGAATTTTACACGATGATCAATTATTTTCAACTGACGTGAATTGGTTCCGTATCGCCAGAACGTTAAATTCATATCTGCCGTTTTAACATTCCTTTCAAAACAATAAACTGAGCATTTAAACCAATGTTTCCCCACTTTTTCGATCACAATCCCCTTAGATGTAAATTGTTGTGTCCATGCTCCTTTTAAAATTGAATTACGATTATTATAGCAAATTCAACCTTAACTGCGAGACAAAAGTTTAAATGCAAAAGTATTGTTCGAGTTAGTTCGAATACAATTAGAATTCGATTGCAATACTTCGAATACAATCTAAAATAGTTCAAATATTGATTTCAATTTCATTCCGAATGCCAATGATTAAAATGCTTTTATTGGACAGCTTGGCTTATCTGAATGTTTTCAATTCGATGGCTGACTTTGCTGCTTGACCGACGAGAATGGCTCTTACTATAGGCTCGGTAGTGCTCAGAGGTAATCTTCGTTTTGCATTAATTTGTTCGTTTTGTGAAAGACAAAGGAACGTTCGATAGCTTTCCACAACTCCGAATACATTTCAAAAACTTTTTTCTAGTCAAAGTTCCTGGTGTGATTTTTGAAGTTCGGCTTTTACTTCTGAAGCAGTTTACTTCTTTCGCATCCCAAAGTCGCTGCGGTGATCGGTAAATGGGTTTATCAGTCAATCGAATAATTCAGCAATAATTACATCTGTAATTCACGTACACCTCAGGTGGTCGCAATAAACCAAGAAGCTGTCATCATAGTAAATTCTCATGGTAATTTTGCATTTCGAATTTAGGGTTGCTTCCAACGACCAATATAAGTAGCGAACGCCTGTTACAAGAGTTATATGATAACTGTGCAACTGCAAACTGAGATCACTAAGTGATTCTGCTATGCACGCAATATTCAAATGATACGTATCCAAGTGATCACATTTATTCCCATTCAAAAATAACATGGCAGTGTGAAAGTGGTTTTATTATTTACACTTCAAATGATTTCGTTATTTAAGATGCCGATCACCCAAATTTCGTACAAGCAACTACTGATGATCAATTATTTCGAATACATCTGGTGTAACTTTCTTCAGCAATGTAGAAACGCGCCGTACCACGCTGCTTATACTAGGGCACAATCACTTTCATGTGTAATTATACTGTCCATACGAGCTTCTTTTTCACGGAAAACTATTCAACTGCAATAAAAGCAGATCCGATCCATCAGAAACACCAAAATTTAAAAAAAGGACAATTGTCCACCGCCCCTGTATTTCTTTATCGTCATCCAATTGAAATGAAAACTTACAGCGTCCCCTAAACAATGCCTAGAAGATGGCGCTAGCACCCACGTTAAGAAACGCTAATTTAAACGAACAGAAGATGAAAAGATCGGATCATGATGGATATTTTTCACACTTTCAATAAACAAGAATAACCGATAAGAACGCAAAAAATGTTTATTATTACATGAGAGTAGGATGAAACGATATGAATAACTCATTGAAGTTTAACACGAGGACATACAGAGGAAGATAACGATGCAATGCACAAAAATGCAATTCTCACCGAAATGAAAGCATAATGATGATAAGCATTCATTCCATAACAATACTCCCAATGCCCTTCCAATATTACAGTGATGCTCATTAAGAATCAATGTTCATATCAACGAATTACCAATTAATCAGCAACAAATATATTGGCTCAGGTCATACCGGCTGCTATCACATCGAAGTTTCCTCATAACGAATCAATTATTCTTCTGCGAACACGAATAAATATGATACATATTGAAATGTCATCAAAGTTATTGACAAAATTCACGATACATTTTCAACAAACAACTCAACATATTCGATTTGTACAAACCAATTAATACAACAATAAACCATCAAAAATTATTAACATATAAGGAAAAACATTCAAAACAATCGTATTCTTAACAACTGCAATGACAATGAACATAACAACAATAATGATCGCAAAAATGATGAAAATAATCACAGTAATAATAGCAACAGTACCAGTCGCAACAATAATCAAATCAATAATTCAAAAGGTAGAAAGATACCCATGGATGTAGCATAGTACAAAGAAATAAATAAACTGGAATAAGTGGAGACCGGATAAAATAACAAAATAAACCAACTGTAGACAAATAAGTCTTTCAGAGAAATTATTAGTTGACATCAGATTGGTCAAAATCGTCACTGCTGCACTTATTTATAGCATTTTTAAGACTACTGAGGGTTTAAACCATTTTAGATAATAACCACTTTGGTTTCACGAGTAGGACTGTTGCTTCTGCTCTCTAAAGTTGAATTCATACTGGCACTACGGTCTTTTGACGATGACATATAAATCATTTCAGATGTCTTAAAAACTGTTTTCATGTGTCTACAGTGTTGTGTTGAAGCCTTCATGAACCCTGACTGTTTGTATGCTGCTTCTCTGAAGTATATGCAGTAATGCGTTCATAAAAACACTACTGCTCATCAAAGGCCTGAGCTAGGCCTAAGCAAGTCTACGTTGATATCCAGTTCCACTTCAAAAAATAATTAAGCCTAAACATCAGTCTTTAGAAACCTCAGCTTGTCAGAATGATGTTTTTGTCTTATGCGCAAAACAACAGAGGATCGAATATTGACCTAATGCATCTTTCAGATCTAACATGAACTTGATTGCACAGAAGAATAGTGATTCTGCAATGATCAATGATGAAAATTCGGTAAATCGTTGAAGTCCAGCTGATGAGAAAATCGATCGACAATCAAAACAAGAATGGATCTTCGAACATCAACAAATCCATCCACCAAATTCTGTCTACTCAAAGCAACACTATCATCAATAGTCACGGTATAAGCACTTCGAATCTGGAAGAACAGATGCACTTAGAGGAGTGGCAAATTTCCCTTCAGTTCTTTTGTAATGAACAGAAACGGACTGATGAATGCATGATGATAGAATAGTCTTTATGCCGAAAAGTTCAACATGCATCTGGCGTATCCGTAAGCAAGAATACAATCAATAGATGTTTTAATCAATTTCATTACATACTCAAATCAGCTACTGTTATACCAAAAAAAGGCACAACCGCCAAACAACAACAGCACAACTTCTTATTAAGTAAAAATCTCAACACGAAAACCCTCGAAACTAATGACATTCTGATAATGTTTACAGATGAAGAGCGTTTCGCGTCTCCACAAAAACAAGACGTCCCCTTAAGCAGCTCTGTACGTATCACTCAGAGTGGAAATACTACACTTATAGATGCAATCAATGAATCAGAGATGACCAATTTCAAAAGGCAATATGGCGAAAACTGTAGATTCTAAGTTTTAGAACAGACAGAAATATTAGAATCTCAAAAGTTGTAGAACCTATTATGGCAATCAACAATGCACGAATTTATCGCTATAATAGTTTCAAGGCTTCCCATCACATTCCTCAACCTTAACCCAACTGAAAACGTTTTTAACAGATAGAAAAAATATGATGTTAGAGGGTAGTCAACCAATGAACAGTTAACAACTCAATTATTTGGACTCGACTCGATCACTGAATCAGACAGTGACAATATCTTCTTTCTAGAAAACAAATTCTCGAAAAGTAGCAATTTTGGCACACATACTAGTTTCGTTCTTGAACTTCAGTCAAATTTTCAGTTTTTTGAAATATTTATTGTCGTTTAGTTGTTGCTTATCTGCGGTACATTATTCGAGACTATGTTTTAAATTGCATAAGATTGTCAGTGAGCATCTTCAAATATGTGGTGTATTTGAATGAATATCACTCGAAAAAATCTAATATTGAGTGAAGAACATAGTTGTTTTCGCTAATTTGAAAAAGGAGCCAAAAAATTGTTACAGCAACGATTTTGATTGACATAGTAAATATTATGATCGTTACGGCGATGAGAAAAGTGTGAAAGCGACATCGCAAAACTGAAAACCCTGTATACGCCTTCATCAATCAAATTTAATGGTATTTCAAAAGTTCTATGGCTTTGAAATTATGGCAAAGCATTTTAATCTCAACCGAAAAAAATTCATTGAAGTTTTGTCAACGCATAATTTTCTCAACACCATCGTTAACATGTTTTGGAAACATCGAAAATGTGACATATTTTTCATACAATTCACCATGTATTAATCGAAAGTTAGGAAGTGAAGGTAAGAGAAAACATCCGAATGATACTCAGAATGAATACTTTCTGTCTTGAAGAAACCTTAAACACTTCACTTAACAGAAGACAGGTATATTGCTATAAGACGATTGTTCCACAAAATTTCATCTACATTCGTGGAAGTAGCACCGGTCTAACTTTCAGCAACGCATATTGAAACCTTCACAGAGAAATGAAAATTGTGGGCTGAAAATTGATATCTTAAAAAACGTGTAAAGAAAATGAAGTCTGAAAAAATATGACATCAAATACTTTAACAATTCACTGACAATTTTAATTTGGGAAAGTTCACCAACTGTGGCAACAGAAGTTGTTGTTGAATAAAGAGCCGATTAAATAATGAAACATCAAAATAAAGGATGGACTTTCCAAATGAAAAAAAAAACAAATTAAACTGTTCAATGGATAAAAATGCCTCAGAAGATTTCGAAACATTCACTAAAACGATTGAATAATGAACTAATAAATAACTATACGAAATACGTACCTTTACAATCTGAATGCTCATGCGATGCTTTGTAACGACAGCAATTCTTGCAAAACAAAAAGATACAACCTTGACTAGCGGGTAACGTACAACGAACACACTTCGGATAGGATTCCTTTTTGCTTTGGTCTTTTCGACCTTCGATCTGCAATAAGACTGCATCGACTTACCGCTTTTTTCATCTATCTGAATGCGTCACAGCTATCGGAAATTAAGCATTTTCGAGTTGGAACACACCAGAAAATAAGCAAAAATGTCACAATAGCAGCAATTCTTTCTTGCATTCAGCACTTTTAATATGTATATTCATGAAAAAGTAATCAAAAAAGATCACTTCTTGTCGAAAATCATTAAAGATACTTCCATATTTAAAATCTGGCGAAATTCTAAGAGATTCCTAATCACATCGATTAAATTTAACACAGATTACTTCATCTGAGTTAGTATAATTGGCAATGCTTTATGAAAAGTCAAGACAGCATCAAACAGCGCATAACTACGATGCAATGTCCTCACGTTGAGTATGCAATTGTTTACTGAATAACAGTTAGATGAATGAATAACTGACTCTGCGTTTTTCACGTTTACGTATCTGTCGCCTGGACAGACCAGTTTCTTCAGCCAACGCATCCAACTCGGCTCGACGCCGTTCGCGATATGATGAATTCGATACTACGGAATCGTTACGTTGCGGTCGAAAGTATGGTTTGCATATCCAATGCGGCAAATCTAACGGGCACGGTGCACACGGCTGTGTTTTGCAACAGTCTTAAATGTCAATTATTATGAAATTAAAATAAAAAAATACTGAAAATAATATCAAAGTAACCGCAATCGATCTACGACGTACTTTTATAACAAGTGGCATCATCGGTGAGTATCACCGAATTAATACGATCCTCGATTCCATCGATTATTTCGTGAAATTCGCGCAACGTAAATACGTAAGACATCTTCTCTCGTAAGTCGTTGTATTCGAGCAGACTAAAAACAAAGTAAAGAATGATTTTGGTAATAGATGTAAGTAGGCTTTCTGACTCGACTGAAGTGATTAAATGCAATCACAGTTTGCAATTAACGAAAACCTCATGCATTACATTACTCCTGCTGAATACTTCAAATCAGATAGAAACCTGTGATGACAGATTCGAAAAAGATGCGCCCTCACCGCACTCATACCAGCTTTGTACCGACGAGCAAATTTTAAATACTCTTTCGCAACGATCCAATTCGGTTCGTGTCGCGCTTCAAAAAGGAACGGATTTGATAAAACGCCTTCTGCACTCATCACCCCTTTCGCATCTGTGACCTTCAGACATTCTTGCACGTCTTCTGGCATCTGCAAGTAGATGTTATTGTCCAGTTCAATATGAACTTTTCTGCAATATCTATTGATAAAACCTTTATTGGATCAGACACTTTTCACATCATTCAACCGATCGTCAAAGTGAGCATATAAGACATAAATAGTAGCAATTCTAACCAATTTCAATAAATGCAACGATGACAATGCTAATAATACCTGAATATTGCCATTGGCCAAAACTGGAATATTGACTGCCTCACGAACGATACGAATTGCATTCCAATCGGCGAGACCTGTACTGGCACCTCTCTGCTCTCTTGTGCGGCCATGAACTGTCAACATACATGCTCCAGCCTTTTCCAGCGCTCTTTAAAGACATGCATAAAGATGACTGATCGTTTCAATAAGACTTCAATTTGAAATCAATTTCTTCAAGCTTTCATATTTTTATTTCGGATTTTAATCGAACCCGCAATCGATCCAACGAATTCTTTTGATGTTGATGAACAAAACTGATTGTCATATATGATAAGAAAGAAGAAAGTACCGTGCGTAAGATAGTGTCTTATCGATATCATCCAAGATACGAATTTTGCACGAAAGTGGTACATGACAATACGAGTGGATAATCGAAACCATTTCACACACCAGTTCAATATCTTCCTAACAAGTAATCAATTCAACATTGTCTTGAAGATCACAATTAATTTGGTTTGTTAAAAATTACTTATGAAAACTTTCACGACAAAGCTCGAAAAAATTCATAAAACGAACAGTGAATGCTTCATAAGCTGAGGGAAAATTTTTTATTTGAGATAAGAAACACTGGTCCCGATGAAAACAATAGATAGGAGAAGTAAGTTATTGGTAGAGAGCAATCGCAAGCAATGAAAACGGTGACGATGCGGCAAGTGTAATTCATAAAATGCATCAAGAATAATTCTAAAACCTGTAAATATGCACCATAATGACCTCGTTTGGCAATCAGCTGTGGACAACCAAGATTCAGATCAACGCCATCGCAGATGTCTTCGACAAGTAAGCATGCTGACAGCAATATATCAGGTTCGTTCGCACAGAACTGTATCACCAAAGGTCTGTCTGACGAACAAGACGAGAATGCGGATTTGCGGTACGTGACGTCTTTGACGAATAACTGAGCATGTATCATCGGTGAAAAACACAAATCGGCTCCGTGCTCCCGCAACATCATCCGGAATGCCAATTCACTACAATTAGAGTTCAGTAAATTTCTTCATTCATTTCAGCACTTCGTGTTTGATAGAAATCACTTCATCCTAAATGAAAATAACCGTTCCAAAAAACACAATCGACTTAACACAGAGAAATTTCTTTTTGAAACACAGCAGTTTGGTCCTGTATACAAAAGTATTCTTTCCTGTAATTATTCAGGAGCTGACATTCTTACCAAATTTTACTGCTTTATTTTGTGATGGACAGGAACATTTTTCTGATGTTTTTATGAAGTATCAATATTAATGAAATATATTGATCACTTATCATCTGTTTTGTAAAACATCTATCACCTCACATATATTCATCATAATGATTTTCTCAATTATGTTTACAGAAAACAAAAAACTGCCAACGACTGACACTTTCACACACTTTTTTGTTCACAATCAAAAATATTGTTTCCCCCTTTAAAAATGTCGCCATTTCAGTCTAGAAAATACTCGTCTAAAAAACAAACTAATTCATCAACCGGGAATAAAACTCGATCATCTAAAGATGAGAGGTCTTCTGTGCAAATGCCTATTTGTAAAACCAGGATTCATGAAAAAATGCATCGTTGATGCACTTTCAATGAAACAAATGCTGAATAATACCAATAAAACTTTACGAAGTTTAAACGAAAAGAAACAAAATCTAGCAATCGGTGGAACATACCTTTGATCAACCATTGGTGCGACGACACATTTGACATTTTGCATGATCCGTTTCCATGTGTTTCGTTTCGCATCTTTTTGAGCATCCGTCAAACAGATTAGATTCTTTCTGGGCACTTTGTCCTTTCCAATAACGAACATATCATCTGAGTTGTCATCAGCAGCAACGCCTTGCACCATACCTATTATCTTCGTTTTACTTTATCTTCATTTTACTTCAAACATACATCACTGCCCGGTTTCGTTGTTCAGATTATGATTGGCGAAAATTCATCAATGATACTGCTTCATAAAAAATGCTATTAAAACTTTAGTTGTCACACAATTATGCCTCCTAAACTGTTAACCAAGTTAAGGCGATATATTTCGGCTGGTCATGACAGTTCACAGTTTCCGTTACAATGTTATATTCTGTCCAACGCGAAAGCAAAAAACGTAAAAAGTTTGAAGTTTTGATAACGAATCTGTAACGAGCATAAATCTATTACAGCCATGACAGTTTCGTTTATCCGTTCTTTTACTCAACTGAACAGTTTCACAAGACTTTGGAGTTGTAATACACAACCAATGCATACTTCTTTTAATTCGTTGTTATGGTGCACGCTACTTTAATGGTGCACTACTTTAATTCGTTGTTATACATTTTACAATTACGTTAATTCAGAGTTGTTAAAAATATTCACGATTAATGCAGCATTTCGAACGATCATCTCGGAATTTCAGTTGCAAACATAAAACTTCTTTTTATGTTTTGCGTTTGATGTTAAACAATTACCGTAATTCGTTTGTTGACGAAGTTTGCATTGAGTATTTCTCAATAATAAGTAAGCTGAACCGAACTCGTGAAAGTGTACGAGAAAGTATGACGATATTTCGGTGTCGTCAAAACAACATGTGTACGGTGCTGGCTTAGGATTCGGAGAGTCGTAGTTGTGTTGGTGATGTGCTCGATATGTGAAAAGTTGATGTGTTTCATGTGTAAAACGTTGTTGTTGTTGTATCATGCGTGTTTATCTGATTGCACAGATTCTAGCGATTATAACTAGATCTTTTATATGAAATAAAAGATACAGTTGTGTTCGATTACAGTTTTGTTTCGTTTAAGATACGAGCATTTTGCGATGCACAGAGCTGTTGCCGGTAAGGTCGCGATGGTAAGTAATTTCTTAAGAATTATTTGGTTACATTCGGAAATATATTATTAAATTGCATACAAATTCGCTGAAATAGAGTTTAAAAATCATTGATTCAGTGATCATATAAAGTCAGCTTATCGAGATGTTTACCGTCATTGATTTGTCAGAAACCGTTGATTAGGTATGCATAAAAGTGTGCTAAAAGAAGGTGAAGGAGGAAATATGTAATGACTTTCTGAAATAGTTTGTTTTAGCGATCTTTCGCGTTGGGTGCGGGTTTGTGTTCTGTAGCCGGAGCTGGTACTCTTTTGTATGCATTGGAGAATGCGATCAGAGTGGAAGCTGGTGAGCATGTTGTACACGCATATAAATTGCCTTGGTCACATTCCGGTCCGTTCTCATCGTTGGATATGGCTTCGTAAGTTTTACTTGCACTAAGCGAATGATACTTTAATTGAATTAACATTCAAACGATCAGTTATTAAAGCGTTCGTCGAGGCTATGAAGTGTACAAACAAGTGTGTGCAGCGTGTCATTCGATGAAGTTCATTCATTATCGCCATTTTGTTGACGTGTTTATGACTGAAGAAGAAGCGAAGGCTGAGGCTGCCGAGGCAACAATTCGCGATATCGATGATAAAGGTTGGCTAATCGGTGTTTTATTTTGTTACCTCATTACTAATGATAATGGTGATCACGTAAAGGAGCACCAATGGAACGACCTGGTATCTTAACTGATCCCCTGCCGGCACCCTACCCGAATAAAAAGGCCGCAGCAGCTGCCAATAACGGCGCAGCACCACCAGATCTGTCTTTGATGGCGCTGGCACGTCATGGTGGCGATGATTATATTTTCACATTACTCACTGGTTATTTTGATCCACCTGCTGGAGTTAAGGTCTGTTATCTGTTAATTAGATTTTATAGTGATATGAATATGAATGATTAATTGTTAAAGGTGGATGAAGGGAAAGCATACAACCCATACTTTGCCGGTGGTGTTATTTCCATGCCACAGCAGTTATACGATGAGGGCATCGATTATAAAGATGGTACTATTGCTACAATGTCGCAGCAAGCCAAGGATGTGGCCACATTTATGCACTGGACTGCTGAACCATATCACGATACACGCAAACGTTGGGCTCTCAAGGTCGGTTCATTTGCCTTGTTTTCTCATTTTGATAATAGCAGTTGATTAGGTTCGAAATTATATTAAAACGCTTAGAACAATGTGCGAGACAGTATTGTGAGAATGAAACTGATAACGGTCAGAAAGTACATTAAATGAATATGATTCTGAAAACAAAAAAAAATTTATAATAGTTTGACGAAACATGGTGTTATTGCCTATAAATTTATCACTGGTTGGACCGAAATGTCTAATTATTTATAGGTTCTTGTGATGATACCATTTGTAACATTTGTTATATTGTACGGCAAACGGTACGTTTGGTCATTTGTAAAGAATCAGAAGTTTGCATGGCGTACGGTAAGGGGACGTGAGCCACCAACTAAGGGTAAATCTTCGTAGAACAAATCAACAAACGAATGGATTGTCACGAATGGTTCACTCATTGATCGCTGACAATCATTATAATATGACATAATTTGATATGATATGCTGCTTATAACCTCTTGAAATCATGCCTTTCATTTCTTGAATCTAGCCAGCAGAAGTATTATAATTTTATTCATTTTAAATGTTTTCATGAACTGATTTCTACAACATCGCGATGTAACGATGTTTCATCAAAGAAACAGTGTATCAATTAGAGTTTATTTCTGTAGTTGTACAAGTTCATAGACATGCCATGATAGCATGTAATTATTTGTATGATTTCTTTTTTTTTGAGGTTTGATATTTCTCACAATGATGATGCATAGCTTTTATGTGTAATTTTAATTTATATTATTATTGTAAACATTGATCTATGAACAAATATTGTATTTAACTCTGTAAGTTTGAGAAGTAATTTGACATTACATTGTGAAAAGAAGAAATCGTAGAAGATTACTGCTCGGTGTTCAATCAATATTTTGATTGTTGATTAAACTACGTATATTTCATCACTATTGATAAGCGATCAATGATACATATTAGGTTCTATTTTTGAAGTTATATTCTTCATTTAATATCACTTTGTTTAATGACCATGAATTCTACCTCACACCCTGTCCCATCCAGTATGTTTCTTAGCATTAAGTTTATTCCAGATGACCGCATTTCATCCTGTACATCATCATTTGATTTGACAGCATATCGAATTGCTAACGACAACGGTCAATAGTTTTGGGAAGAGGAACATAATAAGGGGCAGAGTATTTGCAGTTTGAAGTGTTTTGTGGATATGACAAGAAACGACTGTCAACGGAAACTTTAAATTGATATGGTGTCGGATTACTGATTTGAAGCAGTCGCTGTCCACCGCCTGATGTCTTTTGCTTTGCATAATCAGCATTTTTTATGTTTATAAGTTAGCTATTCGGCAATAATTATGCTTCTTGCAAACGCTATGCTGTTGCTGTAACGATGTGGTGCATGCAATATGCGATGTTAAGTTGGCTGGTTATGTTCGTATTTATCAATCAGTCTGTCAGATTTGATACTGTTAGGTAATAACGAGACTAATTGTTTAATTAATCATCATTCATTCGCAAAGATACGAACAAATTGCTTCATTGAATGAATGAACGTTGAGTAAATGCTTGGTTGCAGTCTTTAGCAGTAGTTGTTAAACGAACTAATAAATGGATGGTGTCGACAAGTATTGTGCATATAAAGTTTATGTCTTCGCCGATATCGTGGACGTTCGTTTTTTTTGATAGCATGAATCTGTATATGACCATGTTATTAATTTCAAGTATCTGTCATTAGTGCGGTTGTAAATCTAGGATTAGACGAATATATATTTGTATTGAATCGTTTGAATTATCCGAAAGTGATGAATTCATGCGTAGAACTTGTTTAAAATAAAATTAGAAAAAATAGCACAGTTAGATGAGTGGTTTCGATGGTGGGAAGCAGCTGTGGAAGCGGAAGGGAACAGGGCAGTGGGCAGCTCAAGAGAATCTTCAACGAGTAACGAACAATAATGTTCTCTTCGCTCAACAAGTGAACTGCCTTACGTTCGTAAGTAGGCAGTTGAACTGAAACTGAAAGTCTTTTGCAGTAGCCTAATACCAAAACAGTCTTTTTGATGTATCGAACCTGTGAATTTGTCGAAGTCAACGTTTCTGTGAAGCATACCACATAAGGGCCTACTGCGGAAGTAAAACCTAAAAAGTGGAGCGGTCATACGAAGGGTTAGTGGTTTATATATTAAGGGATGCATCACTGTATTGTATATGAGAATGTTCTAATACTTTAAGGAAAGTTTTAGACTGTAGTTAGTTACCAAGTTAGAAGCTAGCAAACAATCTTTACGAAAGAAGAGATACTTCAAAGTTTATTTGAAGTTGGTGGTGAATGATATCGCTAAATCAATGAATTAGTAAAGTGATCACAATCCATATGCCTATACACGTTTGCAGTTATCTATCATGACCGTACAAATGTTCACTTCGATTCAGCATTTCGATAATACATTTACGAAATATATGGTGATTCGCCAAGTATGCATATACATGTCCCATTCCTTTCAGAACCTGTAATTTATTCATAATCAGCAAGCACAACTCGTAATATGCTCACTTACAAATGCTATAGTCACATTTGGTCGTAAGCGATCGACGGAATTAAATGTCCATATAAAAATTGGACATTCAGTCAATAGATCATTCAATTAAAAAAAAACAAATTACCTCTACGTTCGAACCAGGCCAAAGTTGTTGCAACGTAGGCGCTCCATTCCTAACAACATACGCATCTTTCTCAGCAATTACATTCTTCACTAACGTTGTATCAAACGGAGTTGGGTAGTTACCGAGATTTGTAAACTCCTCCATTAGTATATACATAAACTGGAATAGTGAAACGTTATTTATCATCTGTTCTGATTTATAATCATTCATCACTGATAATTTTCCGTTATCGTTGGTAAAATACATGAACACTTTGGCTATGATTTAAAAAAATGAAAATATGCTGTTAATTTGATTTGGGGTAATATATTAAGTAATTAGTTGAGATTCTAACTGAGTACAATTTTGGATCAATTTATTACTTAAGCAGTGCGCACATACGAGAACGAATCAATAATTTTTTAAGCAAGAAAACTGAAAAAGCATTATTTCAGCAACAGAGAAAGAATAATCGTTCTGGAATAACGCAAAAATGAAATGTCGCAACCAACCATCTTAGCAACACCAAACTTCGAATTGAACCCATCTGACCGCTTATTCATCTCATAGGCACGTTCAATCCAATCACATTGAGGAATCTGATGAATCGCCGATTGAAAACGTTTCGATTTGAATTCCATTGTTAACTTCTCCCATGGAATTGCGCCTGACAAGGCGCCCTTCAATAAAAATCATTAAGAACTTTGCAAGATAATCTATACTTAAACAAATGTCTGATGTGAATTTTGATAAACAGTTTTTTTAAGATAAATGAAATGAATCTAAAATGAATTAGAGAAACGAAGTGATGCAAAAGTGATACTTAAATGTCACCTCGACAAAGACCGGCGCTGCGGTTGTCCACGAGAGGCATGGTACTAACGCGACTGGTTTTGGTGAATTCGTGCACGCCAGCGAAGCCATGTGACCCCCCATCGAGACACCAGATAAACCTAACGGAGCATAACCCAGCTGACTTGCCCATTTCAGCAAAAAATTACATTCTGCTATTAGTGCACCACCCATCACAAATAAATCTGATACATTGTTCAAACTAGACCTAAGATATACTTTCATTATTAATGGTGTTGTATTATTATTATTATTATTTATTTATTACTATTAATTATTGTTGTTATCATAAAAACTATTATTTTATTAATATTACTAGTATCACTGTCATTATAAACTTGACAATCGTCAGTTGGACAGCGGAGAATAAATATGAATAAGACTGGGAACCAAAAGAAAAACTATTCAAAAAACGAACCTAAATTGATTTTTCGGTTTTCTGGATCCGTAGAAAGGATTTTCAAGGAGAACAGAGCTAATGCCCTGCTTTATGAGGTCGTTCGCAAAGCCCCATTCACGCCTACGAAACATTGGAATTACATTATAAGAGTAATCGTATCTCGTCAGTTTGCTAATTCACCAATCTCGCTCTCTCTTCACCACACTCCCTAAGCTCGACAACGTCAATCTCTTATGATAAAGAAATTCACCTAAAGAACGAGTGATCTCCAGTACCGGCCAAGTGTATAACAAGACCTCGTTTCAATTTTTTCGGGAAAATACCTCGCCAACATGCCCATCCAATATTGTCGGGCATCATTTCGGGAAATACTTTCCCATAAGGACTTGCGAAGCGACCTTCCACGTACATTATTCCATTTCGCACTTCTTCCTGTCCAAAAAATATATTCACTCAACTTTCACTTATTTGTTTTTACGATCAACGGGAACATATTATGAATATGATATTCGCAAAATTCATACTCTATTTTCAACGTCTGTTTCATTACAAACAAAACGATCTTATAATGAAGCTCTGATTGGTTATTCGGTATCGCTCTGTCTCAACTTTGCCTAATATTCATTGAACAGATGAATATATCAGTCATGATAATATTAATAATAACGATATATATACCTTAGTAATGATCATGTTTGGCTGCAGTCGCTCAATCACTTCCATAACAGCGCCTTTGCCCATAACACTCTTTCGAAAAGCAAACGTTCTTAAATTGCATTTGGTTGCATCATGTTTCACTTCAACATAATACTTCTTCGCATCGATGCTTTCTCAATGTCGTTAGTAATGAAATGTGCTCCGTTCCACTTTAAATACGCCATTTGAATGCACGAAAAAGGAGAAAAATAACAAACTTTTCAAGTGTTTTTGGATCACCCCAAGAAGTTGTGAAAAGTTTTGAGAGGAGAAGCAGTCGACGAAAACTCAAATCCATGGAACTCCAACCGACGTCGATCGCAGCCATTCGACTTGTACTCGCCAGTGGATCGAAACAACGTCTTGACCTACTGAGACAGATTGTAATTGATGACATTAACTTTATCATAATCGTTCATTCACAAATCGATATTTGTTCACAGTTCATTACTCTAACTAATAATATGTACAGCATTCAAATTATAACGAAGCAGAGACAAAACGTTACATAGTGTGTGATTAACGAAAGATATAATGTGATGCACAAGAATTTAACAGCTGTGTTCATTTCATACGACAGGGTATTGAACCAACTGTGAAGATATCCGATTATGCGGAAGATCTTAGTAAAGAAATGCCGGTGGCTGAATTCGTTCAAGAAACTGCCAGAAAGAAAGCTTTAGCAGTAGCGAATCAAATGGTTAACTTCAGAGACTTTGCATTTTTCACAGAATTCACATCTAAAATTTCATACACACATTTTGGTTTTTTGTGAAGTTATTCAATTGTGGAATGAAAGTTTATATCATTTTTCAAATGAATAAGATATTCGATAGAGTTTGATGGTTGACTTTATGCGATATTAGGAGTTTATTTCAATGCGTAAAAGTGATAATAAATTTGAAAAATAGAAGTGGGAATGAGTAAATGGAAATATGCTTCTTTATATAGCAGTTTGTTGTATTAGTAACGATGAAATCAGAGTTTTTCACAAGTGTTTTCAAATTTAGCGATGAGCGCTAAAACAGGAGAGTTCACTGTGAACAATTATGAAAAAATTCAGAAAGAAGGTGAATACGATGTGATTTTGGGATGCGATACGGTGATTGCGTTAGATGAGGAGATTATTGGAAAGCCGAACGATGCAGAGGACGCGATTCGTACACTGAAACGGTGCTTTATATTTCAGAAGATGACTGCAGCTATTGATTTGCAAATTCATTATGACAGTTCACTTTCACCTCTAAACATTCCACTTAGATCAGTTGTGCTCTATTGATGCAATCAGCTGAATTAATTCATTTAGACTCAATAATCGCACGCATCAAGTATATTCCGGTGTTGCACTGCTCTATGCAAACGGCATCGAATTATTTCATGAACGGACACTTGTTAAATTCGGTTTAATACCTGACAGTGTTATCGAAAGATACGTTGAATCTGGAGAAGCAATGTGAGTGCATTCATCTAAATAATTTTTATTAAATCTCGACTGCGACTCGTGCTAGGTATGCGACTGTTCGTTACTGGCAGTCATATGTAACGGCATAAGAATTGCAATTTTGAAATAAATATTCCGAAGTGAATTTATCCATTGAAGAGGTCGAGCTGGTTCGTATGGAATACAGTGTGGTGGCGCAATGTTCGTCGAAAAAGTTGATGGATGTTTTTACAACGTTGTCGGCTTACCACTACATCAAGTGATGAAAAGACTTTGGCAATTAACAAATATTATGAAATGTTGATTTGAGTTCAAATTAACCAACTCACTCCGTTTTATTTCAATAAAGGCAATCTCAATACCCACTTCTTTCAAATCACATAAACTACTAATTATGTGCACTATCACTATATGAGCTTGTCCAATATTATTTTACTTCATTTCAAGTCTCTCATTCTCGTAACATTCAATCCATTCCCATCATAGACACACTTATCTCGATCACTATTTGTATAATGCGTTCTTAAGCAATCTCAAAGCTGAAAATCGTTGCTGAGCTGATTAAATAATAGAATAGAAATACGTGTATACGGCAAACGGAGTGTGAATTGGAATGATCTGCGTTGTTGAAATATGAAGTAAAGAGCAGATAAATGGATATAAGACCTCCTGATTTGATATCAGATGAACGGTGATGATATCAGTGAATAACGAACGTAATTTTAAAAAAAACACTTTATATCCATCTCATTAAGAGCACATTCAAGTTAACAGATGAGTAGTCAATTAATTGATAGACAGAGTAACGAATCTGTCTTTACACACTTCTTTGAACAATACTCATTCACTACTTATGATTTTCATTGATTGCAAATCACTTCTTTGAACAGACATTAATAATGTCGATTATCAATGGTACCAAGGTCAAAAATACTTTTAGGTCGATGCAATTCAACTCTACTTTCTGTTTATTGCACAACAGAATAGATGTGCACTGAAAAGACACAAATTTCAGTGATATTCTGCGAGTGAACAATTGACGTCTAATGAACCACAATAATTATTCATTTTGTTCGTCTAAGCGCGGATATCGAATCGAGCTTAGGCTACTCGAATGAGAAGCGAGAGATCATCGTGCTAGTCAATTTAATCATTGCAAAAACGGACGTTAGTTTCTCACCTGCGTAAAATTTTGTGCGATAAATGGAAAGCCGATAATAATACTGATGATGAACAATAGATTTTGAAAAGAGCTTATGAAAACAATTAACATCACAACAAAAAAAGTATTAAACAAAGAAATACAAATACGAATAGGTATATCATCCATCACAAATTAATTCACTTCTGCAATTTAACCAATACAATTGTTCGTTGTTGAATAATAGACAAAAGAAACATCTTAAATGAACACCAATGTGAAAATTACAAACAATTAGTGAAATTAGAAGTGGTGAAATTTGCTGTGATGGTAAGTACATGAATTACTGGGTGAATGAAGACAACTCTAATTGTCAATAATCAATAAAACATCTGATATAGAACATTAGCAAATTACTGTGACGAAGAAATTAAGCAATTAATAACAAAACGAATATNATATGAAAGAACAACGAAAAAATCACTGGGACAATAATGGTTCATTGGGTCGAAATCGAAACCGTACTTCGAATGATGATACAACCTGACATAGAGCGCATTTGAGTGAAGTGAATATCATTCATAAACACCGTATTGTACCAAAGACATATTCAATACGAGAATAAAAGACAAATCTGCAAGAATGAACACAAACAACACTAAATACACTGATATCGAAATGCATTATTATTGAGAAGTTAATGACGTATCGTACGATGTTGCTATTACCATGTACAATATTATTTCTGAAACGATATGATAATAAGAGGTGCTTGTTTTCGAAAGGAAGTTTTGTGGTGACCGAAGCGGATGAATGAATTCAACTTTTCTGCATGAGAATTGAGTACGTAATAATAGTGCCCAGCATATGATTAAATCAATAATATTCGTGATTATTCAATTCATTTTTCCATTCGCCCGCAAAAAAGCAGCGTCGTAACAATAACAGCGTTTCATTCAGAACAGCAACAATTACGTCGGTTTTATTAGGAGCCATGCTGAGTTTGAAACAAAAAGAAAAAAACAAATCTCGAAGAGAATGAGAAACATCTTAATGATATTTACAAAGCTAATCGAAACTAAACGACAAGATAATGACTAATATTGACTACCGATCGTGTTGTACTAATGACAAGGAGACTAGTAAGTAGAAAAACAGCCAATGTAACAGTGAGTTTGTCAAATAACAAAGTTTTCCTGGGATTTTTGCATGAAAAGACATAGAAATAAATATCACAAAGAACAACAACTTCAATAACAATAATGACAAATTGTTTAGTGTCAAACAAAAACAAGGATAAACTTTTGGGAATAAAGGGCATTCCACCGATACGATAACAAAATATTCACAAGTGAGCACTAACAGATCGATAAATTACTTATCTTGAACGTTTGTTGAAGAGGAATCGGGAAGTGTTCTAAAGTCATCAATAAGGGGTGTAGCAGCGGTATCTGTAGAATCAGCATCGAGAGTGAGAGTAGACGGTCGTGACAAATCCGATGAAGTGTCTGCAGCTTCATGAACAATCTCGAGCTGCTGTCTCGATGGATTGCATTTCTTGCTTGGATCGCTATTCGCCGCTCTCTCCACATTTGCACTCTTACGCTTCATGCCACGCCGCTTGACCAACAGCGGTGCCGCAGTCACTTCCATCAAATGGAAACCATCACGATTCGCGTTCAGGAACGCGTTCATCGTTTCGTTGAACGTTTCAGCTTAATTTCTTATTGTTAATTCTATTATTATGCAATGAATATTTAGAGGGAACTAACGACAACAAATAATGAAAGGAACCAGCATGAGAGTGCATAAGAGTTGTTGGTGTTTGCAAGGGTGTCTCGTTATGCGCCGCTGCATTCAGTAGCCATGGGTGACGTTGCAGTCCTTCGATTGAGAGACGTTTCTTTGGATCAACTGTCAGTAATGCTGTAATTAGCATTAAAATAATGATATCTTCTCAGTGCTGCAAGCCAACGAACAAAAACCAACATGTGATGAGGGTGATTGCTTCGGCACTGATGCCTCTCCACTGCGGTGCATCAAACGAAAACTGTGCACTCCGAATACGGCTCATTATATCAGTTGCCGACTCGTGCTTCGTGCGCGCATGAAATGGCACATTTCCACTGAGCATTGTGAACTGTAATAATAGCATTAAATAAAGCAGCTAAACGAATCACCACCAACCAGAATCACTCCGAGACTCCACAGATCGCATTGTTCATTGTACTGTGGTAACTGATCGTCCCTCTCCAACACTTCTGGTGCTGCATAATGAAGTGTGAAACAAGGTGTTGTCAAATGTCCTCCACTCGCTGACGGCAACACTCGTGCAAATCCAAAATCCACCAATCGAAGTTTCGCTTGAGGGTCTGTGCTCTCGAAAAGAATATTCTGAAACGATCGATTCAACTGAAAACAATCATTCAATTTCAATAACTTACTCATTTCTATGAGTTCAAAACCATTTTTTCGATTCGTGACTTCATTCGTTTATATGAATCCTTGAATAACAACGTTAAAAAGAATTCGTTGACATCAGGGCACGTCTTAAGCGAATGTTAGCAATTAACCTCAGGTTTAAGGTCACGATGAACGACGTTCTTCGAGTGAAGGTAAGCGACCGCAGAAACCAGTTGACGCATTATGCAACCTGCTTGTGCCTCTGTGAATGTTTCCATCTTTTTGATTCTCGATAATAGTTCACCACCTCAAAAAACAATCTAACATTCCAAACGCCATAAGGCATAAAAACGTATCACAAGATGATCACTTCAATGAAACGTTCAAATTACAAACAAAAAAATCGAACAGCGACTTAACCTTCCAGAAGTTCCAGCACCAAATAAATATGCAAATTATCAGAGATGACGTCTATGAGACGAACAATATTTGGATGCCCACTGACAATTTCCAAGATATTCGCTTCACGGGTCGCTTGTGCTTGAAAACGTTGCGAGACTATTTTTACCCCGAAAACGGCACCATCTGATAAACGTTCACATTTTCTAGAAAAAATCGTATGCATGCAGAATAAACGATCTGTTGCAAACTTGCAACATTGTCTTGTTTGTATCTGCTCTTTTTCTCGATACTGACTCGCTCTGATGATTTTAATGACTATCACAGAGTTGCAAGCGTCCAATTGCATGCATCATCTTCACAATCTTATGTATTATTCTCACAAATTTATTCTAATCCCAAATGCCTGACATATGTAATGCCACGTCGTACTTGATTTGCAGCTTTATTTCAATTGTTATCAATTCTACAAAATCTTGTTCCTCGCGTTATTTTGCTCGCAGCCATGAGAACTGCAACAAAATCATTTCAACAGCAACGCATCTCTATTGTTTTGTATATCATCTCCATTAAGGCACACCGAAATAATTCAACATATTAACCCTAAATATCCCTCTCCTATACTCTCTTCAATCCGCAAGTTTTCCACCAAATTGCAGCATTTTCGACGTCAACTTTGACCTCTCAAGCCACTGTAATGCACTGATATTCCGTAACAGTCCAACTCTTTTTGGTGTCGTGATTATCGCTACTCTTTTGATAATCTATTCTCTTTTTTTTACCCTACTCAATGTTATTGTTATTAACTTCGTTCCGATCCTATTCATTGTCGCAATATCCTCGTCGTCTTCTTATTTAAACCAATTGTGCGTATCGCATCATCACACCACTAGACGATCTATTCAACTGCAACAAAATCTTACCTATTCACTACAAGCAAACAGGGAACATACCTACATACAGAGAATGAGCCGCGACCAAGGAATCCATTTTCACTTCTGTCGAGTTTATATTTGGAGAAGAATGGTGAAACAGAGACAAGTGCTTGAAAGTCTTCGGCAAGACATTCCTCACCAATCACATTGTTGTTTGCGAATATCACTGACGGAGATACAAATGAATAACCCTAAAAAGTTACGGCTTCGATTAAATGAAATGTGCGTTCACAGTGAATATGTAAATGATTCGAAGTAACAATCTGATGAGATGTCTTAGTATTTAATAAATATAAGTCGAAGAATAGAATAGGAACAATCGATCACCTACACGGAAAAGATTGAATGCATTACGCGGAGTATCAGCCGGTGAATAAATTGGTAACTGATTCGTGAATTCAGCTGCGAAATTGGTCGCATCCATCTGAATTATCGTTTTGCATTCGAAAGTCGTCTTTACGAGAGAATAACATTTCACACAGAAATTCTCATACGCATAGACTCTCGAGCTAGCAAAAGCTCTCCGTAGTATTCCAAGTAATATTTGTTGAAGCGGTGGGAAATGACACGGTAATGTGTATAAATAATGACCAAAAATGACTTCAAAAGGTAAATAAACAAAATTTCAAGCTAACTTCATTACTAATTTTCGGCACGATTGGTGGATTCAACTGCCTGTTCTCACATTTCGCCCAATCAATATCGACCATTAAAGGATGCTCTTTAATCTCTGCCACACCTTTTCTGCCCAATCTACGTTTCGGTGACTTTTCAAGAAGACGACTGATAAAATCCAACGCTAGTGGATCGAAATTCCTCGGGAATGGAACTTTTTTGGTGAGTATTCGCCTTAAGAAATTACCATTTGTACTTTATAATTGCAGACGTTTCAGAAGCACTACTACAATGAAAATACAAGCATTCGAATGAGTGAGTGCTATACTTATTGTAATCACCTTGCAATGTCACGACTGCTGTTTGAGTGTCCATCAACGGTGAACGGTGAACAACCAGTTAGTAATTCAAAGGCAATAACGCCTAAACTCCACCAATCAACAGTCTCATCGTAGCCTTCTTCTGTACGATCCACCACCTCAGGTGCCATATACTCGATTGTTCCACAGTACGAATTTGCTCGATGCAACTTAATTATTACAACTATTACAATGGGAACACCCAATTGAAAATTCATGCAATAACTAAAAAAACTTATGCTACCATCGACATGTTTGAGAGTAGAATCCTAACAATAAGAGTTATGAAACTAATTCTGACAGTAAAAATTGAATTTTCGTCTGAGTTTAACCAACTGTCAATCTCATAATTATATTCAGTGAGGTGGAACTGATCAAAAAATAAATGGATGACAAAGATGATTGATACTGCAAATAGAAGCCTATTTTGAACCAAACCCAACATATGACAACAATAACATACATCTTGCTCGGACAATTCTTTGCTCAATCCGAAATCAGTTAATTTCACATGACCATTTTCATCCAGTAAAATATTTTCCAATTTTAAATCTCGATATACAACGTTCCTCTAAAACAGCACACAAATATTCGATAATCTTTGTTTTTCAGTTAATTGCATTCAGTAAAACAACTAAGATATGCGCACAGTCTCATCACTCGCAATCTATTCTGAATCGGTTTAATGAGCATTCGAAAATGATTTAATCGAAACTAAACGCAATTTTGCAATAACCTTTCGATAACATAAAAACTAACCTTATGAACACTATCGATCGCAACAATTAGTTCAGCAATATAAAACTTAGCAGAAGGCAAATCAAATGAGCCACGACTACACAAATGAGTGAATAATTCACCACCCTTAATGAATTCTGGAATAACATATTTTAAACAACAACACAGCACGACAAGAACATACTAAAAATTACAGCAATTGGAGGGTAGAGCTTAAAACAAAAGCAGTCACAGTTTATAGATATCGCAAATAAATATATACATATTCAAAGTAGTGAAGACATACCCATGACGATATGTAATTTTGCATCTGACTGAAATGCGTACACTAAATTGACGAGAAACGGAAGGCCCTTGAGACGTTCCAAAACATGCCGTTCAGCTAATGTATGCTCCAAGGTTTTTGCCTTGGTTAGAACCCTTGTTTTTTTAAGAACTTTCATTGCATAAATTGTACCATGATCACGACCCCCCACCTTCCTTGCCATGAACACTTTACCATATGCTGAAATATTTTATTTGCAAATACCTCATTAGAATTCTTTCTCATGCATTCATTCTTAGCTTCTCCAAAATTTTCCCATCCACAACATAAGAAAAAAAAGTTGGAATTCGGCTTTAAACGCACACGCGAGCAATAGGATGCGTAAGCAAAACTTATTTAAACTTGAGTCGAGACTGTTCACAAGGGTGTTCATAGTGGATTTCAGCTGTCATCCGTAAGAAGTCAAGAAAGAAAACGCCGTGCCTCTCCAAGCGACATTCTCTGATAACTATGAACATCTCGCCGCAAATGGAGCATGTCAGGCGAGAGATTAGGAACAGGAAAGAAGTAACATTGGCTATCCCCGACCTCATGACCAAAATCAAATTCCGAAACAGGCACAATTCCATGAGAGGTATGGTGTAGGACTGAATGTGTCCGAAGGAACGGTGCAGAATGTAGTAAAAAAAAGGTTAGGAGTAAGCCCCTCAACAAATCATCCAGATTCCTGTTCACCGATACTTAAGGCTTGAACATCACAGAGAGGTGCAATCAATTCCGAATGCAAATTAACCAAATCTTCTATTCTCGGACGAGAATTGCTTCACGGCTGATCAACGATTAAACAACATTCACATGGACAACTACATCACCCCGGGGATGTTCTCGATCATTTCATAACACTAAGCATCCCGAATCAAAACATCATGTTCGGTTTACTAGTTTCGAATGGCGGAAAATGTCAGCAGTATTCCGAAGAGAATGGGTGCCAAAGAGTCTCACTCGACAATAAACGGTTTATATTCGTTCAAGACGATAACCCATGCAAGATCCAAGATCGACTCATTAACAACGTCAATTTATGGTCTGTCTCCTTGCTTCACTAGAACTCAATCTAATCGACTTCTCATTACTAGCTTATGAGCAACAGAACGCAATCTGAAGAAATTGAACGACTACATGACGAAGGCTTGCATCGATATGCCCGAGAGAAGTTTGCAATACTTTCCGCCCTAGAGTCGCGAATGTGATCAAGAATGTGGGACGGCATATTAAATGAAACGCACTGTTATTGCGATGATTTTTAAGCGAAATAAATATTTTTCAAAAATTTTGCGCCTTCTTGTAAAGAGTGTCAATTTTTCGGGTACAACAAAGCTCATTAATTGCTCAAAGACGGCGATGTACTTCTTGCGAAATTTAGTCATTTTTATAGCATGAAGCGATACGGAATATCGAACAAACCATTTCGAATTTAGAGTCAAAGAGTTGAACAATAAGAATTCAAATTCCGCTATAATAGTAATGAGTGAGATGATTTCATAACAGTGTAATATCTCCTCTCAAAAACCAATCACATTCAATCTAACAACTCAGTTTATATGACACTTCATTGACAAATTATACAAACAATTTTTGAATCATAACGTATTGATTATTAATTATTACTTGGACATCGAGTGGTTGTTTTGTCAATCGCAGTGAGCGATCGGTGGAATATTTATTTTATAAGAGTAATGATTATTTATTGAATTGGTATTTGACTGCGTTTAATTATGCAAAGTATTCACGGCGACTAATTATTTACTCGGTTGTGTTCGGTTGGCCTGCTCGCCTAGCCAGCGGGGTGGCGTAAACTGAGGCTAAAACAACGCGCATGGAAACGCGAGCATTGTGGCCAGCAACGTTATAAACGTTTGATAGCCTGGCCAATCCAGGTAATCCAAGTAAACGTACTGTGAGCGGTTAAATAAATACAACCTGCATACTCATACTAATTAAAAAGCACCGCTTCAACGTATCACAGAAGCAATCTACCAATATCAAATATTTAATATAAATATTAAAGTAACGAACCCCCTTTTCCAAGTACTTTTAAGAGTGCGAAGTTTTCCATACTCACTCGTTCTTCGTCCGAAAGATCACTTTCAGCCGAATTAGAACCTGATGAAGAGATGGAATTGTGTGACATTCTCCTGTAAATTACTATATGAAGCACATTGCTCCTGATTTGATATAAACAGACGTTATCCACTGAAGTGAGAGCAATGTTTATATTTCATTTAAATAACAGCAAAGCTTTAGCGGTATGCAAGTGTTTTTGTGAGTAATTGGTTATTCGGCTGAAGTTACGCGATGAATTATGTAAGCAGTTTTTGGAATTCATGACGAACGATAATTTTTACATGGCAGATACTAAGTACTAGTGTACCTTTTTTTTAAAATACCCGTTTGTAGTGAAATCATGAACGTTGAGTGCTATATGGGGAATAATATCGTTACATGTGGTATGTTATGAATGGGATGACCTATGTTCCGTTGGTTTTGTTAAAATGATCTTACAGTTTTTCAAAGTATTTCGAGTAGTGCATAACTCTTCCAATTCTTCTGAAATGTTCGACAGTAAAAACTGAGAAGTACTTTCGTTTAGTGTTAAGTTTTCTGAAGCAATTATTCCGGTTCCACAAGAAAACAGCATCGGTAATGTATGTTTGTATTGCGATTAGCGGAATGCATGGGTGTAGAAGAAAGTGAATAAGGGGCATAAAAGTCGTATTATCAATTTGGTCGTATTATCAATAAGGCATAAAAGCAAGTAGATGGACTCTGATACGATTACGATTGACTACAGTGAAACAAAGACAGCCTTTATCAAATAGATCAGAAGTTCTCAGTCTGGAGAGATTGCCATCCAATTAATCGACGGAAACGGTACATGCAGGGTAATTCTGATGAAAGAGACATTAGCTAAGCGAATCTGGATCATAGAGGGTGATTTTGGAATGCATAGGTTGATGCATTTAGATGAGGAATGTTTGACGCAACTTATGGTCACTCATGTTAAGAAGACTGTTCAAACCGGTTCGTTCAATTTGTCATTGCAAGCTTAATCCTAATCCCTGTCAACATTGAGATTAAAATCAAGATTCCTCTTATTGATACCGTAATTTCTTTTATCAAACGCCCAATATATATTTACCAGTGCCTTCCTTTTTTTCGACGTCTTCATGGTTTTAGCAGAAAGGAATTTGGCTATATTCTTGGCCCGACTGGGCGATTAGAACCACGGTTGACTCTGTCTTATATGTGCCAACTGGGAAATAGACTGACTGTGTCATATGTGTGTCCACTCTGTCACGTGGGAATAAATCAAACTTCTGTTGCTTTTTGCCATTTAGTTGTTTTTATTTGCATAACTGACTGCGGTTAATCAATGTTCCTTTCGATAGTAGCAAACGAATTGTAGCCTGTAGAGGAACTTTGCGCGACGGTTCATCTTATTTGCGTAAGAATCTTGCCAGAAATGCTCAGAACTAGGCTTGACACTGACGAAGTTTCAACTTGATAGCTTTATTGTTTAGGCATGCATCAGTAGCATTCGGGTCATTCACGACGAACTTAGGTTATAGTGAATATTAAATATGTTCGAGCAGTTAAGGGTTAAACGTTTGATGCGATAGAAAGTCGGACAGGAAAGGAGTGATACTTTTTTTAGTCATAACTCGTAATCGCTCAACAACTCACTCTAAAGTTGAATGAAACAAGTTTGAAGCATTACTAATTTGGCAAGCTTAACCGCAAAGTAAACTCAAGGAGAGAGTAATGGAAACAGTAAACGCATGAAAAACAAGGAAGGATGAATTCGTTTTACTTATAATATCAAAGAATTGATCACATCAAAATGAACAAAAGGGTAAAATATCATAAAAAGCTAAGGAATAATGAGAACGGACAAATTTCGCAGGATAAATCAATAAGACAAAGTAGGTGTGCACGAAGAATTGTTTTCAGATGGGATGACTTCTAACGTATTCCGAATAACATTCTCAAGTGCTTATGTTATCTACGAGTACCGTTTATCAAATTGCACTGCACTCATATAAACAAACGGTGGCTGAATCGTTCCTTTCCAGTAGCTATCAACGAATGCTTGAAAATTGATTATCAGAAAATACCAGATTCAATTCTGGCAGCGTTCCAAGAATGCAATAGGCTTCATGGTTATCACCAGCTGTGACCATACAGCCTCTAGAAATCAAGCAATCTAGCCTTACCTACTGGACATATAGACCTAGGCTCAAGCCCAGGCGCACTCTTAGGTTTACCATTTCAATTAGATAGGGCTGAATTGATGACATCTATATGCAGATGACTTTTACGGCTCGGCTGTTGAAATGATATCGTTCTTCAAGGGCGTGAACCTTATGTGCACCTTATCAGGCAATGTAATGTTTTATTTTCCTACTTGATACATAATTCATTTTGATAATACATCCACTTGTCTTTCAGAGTATACATACACAAGTTCATCAAGGATTCGCTCAACTATAGTTCGCAGTGTACGGTTTATGATTCTATCATAACGACTTCTTTTGACATTTTGGAACGTCGTATGTTTGTTTTTACCATCACATTTATCCGTTTTCAGTATTGATTTCCTTTGTTTTTCTTCTCATCCTCATTCCTTACTAATATTTTTAAATTCAGTCATTATAAATCAAACAAAAGCACTGTCTTAACACTCTTTTCAGTTAGAAAAAACAATTTTTTTTGAATCGTCAATCGATCGAAAAACAGTCATTCTTTCAACGAGCGAGAAGGAAACATTTATAAAAACAAAACACATTAAAGAGAGGGATTATGTAAGAAATACATAAAAGTACATTTTAGCGTAAAAGACGCTATGCGATGCGTCAAGCGTGCACATCAATAGAAAGGTTCAGTAAAAGGGTGTAATTAAAAGCAAACAAAAATGACCATCAAATACCTGATACAGCAGTGAAAGATGAACGGAGACATTGAATAGATAAAAGCGATGTGGTATTGATTGACTGAATAATTAATAGTACGTTAAATGAAACTGCTTGCAATCGCAATGATTAAGAGTTATGAACAAGCGATAAGAATGTGAATGTAAACTGGATGGATAAACGTAATGGCAAAAAAAGTGAGTAAAGCAATAACAATGTTTACCGTATGAATAACATTACTAGGCAGTATTTTATTCGTTGTTGGTAATTTTCAACGCAACTGGTTGTTCAAATAGCTGAATAATGACTGGAAATTCTTCACAACAACATACATCTATTCAAACGTCTATCAGAATCTTTAGTAATCATCACTTCGTTGTTTATTCGGTCGTTTTTGGAATTAGTAACCGATACTTTGATATTTTATTATTATCAACTTATATCTTTCTTATGTAGCTTCCATCCTCAAATTACTTACATGTAGACAAGAAAGGTTACTTTCATCAAATGAATATTACTCTTCTCAGTTTACTGCAGAAAGTTCGATCTCAGCATAATTATTTATTCGTCTTTCACGTGCATTTCATTTGGGAGTGCAGCATGCATTCCATTTCTTTCACGTGCATTTGGGATAGAAAATTATGAATAGACAATCTTGTGTATATTTGAGCAATAGGATAAAAGACACTTAATATTTATTATTGCTTATGAGACTAGTTGTTTATTGTCATTATTGCCGTTACTGTTTTTAAATCGTTGCTGTTATTATCATATTCACTGTTTTTGTTATCGTCAACACGTGGTGCGATTGTGATAAAGTATTTTTGAAGTGTTAAAGTATCTCATCGCATTTTAAATTATATTTTATCGTTGATTCATCTTGTTACCGTTTTGCAGGTCATTGCAGGCCATTGGTTAACCCTGAATTGAAGTTAATTGGTGCCAATCAATATGAATATCACTGAATGGACTTCTTATGAATGGAAAAAATTTGGCATTGGATGCTTTCAAGTTTGTTCTCTTTTCTATGCACGTTCAGTTAGAAAGCTTTTCTCATTTAGTTGATGAAAAAGTTAAGTAGAAATGATTGATCAATTAAATAAATGGTAATAATATTGAGTTATCTGTTTCCATTCTCCTATATACGACTGTATCAAAATGATCTATTTGTTCCTTGAGTATTTTATTTTGCTGAATGCTGAACATTAGTCGAAATAACAAATAGAAAACGAGCAGATAACGGAAACGATCATTTTAAGAAGTGGCGACAGATATAGCAACGCTAGTGTTCAGGTAATATTGTCGTTCGCGAGTTTTCGTTTGATGCAATTCGCGGTGAGGTGGTACTTGTTTGGTAAATGCACATTCCGTACGTTCTCATACTTCGGTTGGCGACAGAATTTGACGGCGAATGAACGTGACAACGAAGTGGATATGCGAAACAGCCAATCACTTCTGGTCAGTTCAATTGTGCTATTTGATATGACATTGAAATGTATGTGAAGCAATCAGTGATCATTGCAAATAGGTTGTTCCACCGAATAAGAAGTGGCGTATTTCGAACGAAGCAGTCTCACTGATTCACTCAGTCGTATCTGGCTCATGGGCTCTCTACACATGTCTCGTATATCCTCAACTTTTCGATGATATGATCATCTTTTGGAATAGTTTCGCCCACTATTTGGTGAGTTTCAGTTTTGTTTGTGTAATCGTTGAAATATTACTCTATTAATTTCAAACGTTTACCGACATAAATGTGCCATAATTTACATTTATTTCTTCGAAAATTGTTGTTTTTAAAAATTATTGATTATTGTTGTGCTAGGTTGGATTTTATGTAAGGCGAACTGAGAACTCGTGGAAAGAACAGTCATGTGAGCAGCATTTCAGATACTTTTATCAACAGGATATTTAATTCATGATCTCATTGATTTACTTACAAATGAACGTTCTCTACGCATTATGGAGTTGTTATTTCATCACGTTATTGTCTTAATGGCATTCGCAGTCACATTTGTTTCTAATCTCTTTCAAGGTTAGTCATTATTACCTTTGCCATTAGTCAGTTAGATCCATCCACCAATTTGCTAACAACAAATAATAACTTTTCAGCCGTAGTTGTGTGTGGACTGTTGATGGAGTTAAATAGTATATTTCTGCATTCTCGTTCTTTACTGAATCTTTATGGTGTTGCGAAAACATCGACCGCATTCCGTATAATTGCACTCATTAACATTATCACATTCGCACTGTTTCGCATGGTTATCAGTGCTTATCTGCTCTACTGGCAGATCACGAGTGCATGGTCTAGTCAATTGTTTTTGGGATATTCAATCATCGCACTTATTATCATCTTATCACTTGGATCCACTAACACAATCCTTTGTTATCGGTTATATTTTTATCCATTTATCATTATTAGAACTCTTATGGAATGATAACGGCGGTAATTTAATCCGAATCAAAACTGAATTAATAGATGCTGTTAAGGTAATAACAGGGATAAGAATAGAAATAGAAGTGCCAGTAATAATAATGGTAATAGTAATAACGATACTTGATTGATGTAACCAATATGTAGAAAAATGATGTTGCGGAACGTTTCGACGCAATGCATCAACTTCAGATTCGTTACATTTATANCAACAACAACAACAACAACAACAGGCAGTGTGTTCACCGAATACGCAGTTGGTGGACTCGAGTAATCTCGAAGTATGACTCGTTTATTCATCAACGGTTGACATTAATTGACGTATACACGAGTTTGTGTGCACAAACGTGTACCATTTAATTTTGTTTCAGTTTTCTTTGCACTCCACTAATTTATTTGCATTCCTTAACAGTCATCACCAATTGCTACAGCAATGGCCTCATGCTTGTTTTTTTGTTTAATTCTATTTGTTCGCTTATCTGTTCGATTTAATTATTTATGTGTAATTTTATATTGAGAAGTTGTGTTGTTATAACTGTGAAATGTGACGATTCATTGGTTTGTATACGAAGCATTCATTGGTCTGCAACAGTCGTCCTTTGATTCGTTGCAACTTTCGAAACGTTTATTTGTCGATTCTTCATTTTCTATTACCTTGTTGCAGTTGTTATTTATTTGTTATATCTGTACTTGAACTTTGAACGCATTTCATCGTTTATTCACATTCTGCAAGTGCTCTCTGCTATCTATTCAGTATAATGCATATTATTATAATTATTGAATCTGATTGTTTATTCCGTTGTAATTGAAATGTTTCCATTCTTGACAATTTGTTGTTTTTTTTTTGCATTGGTGTAATTTTCACAAAGACCTTCATCAATTCTGAATACTGCATTGAACATGCACATAAGTCTTAAATAATGTCATTGTTTATGCATTCATTTATCGTCATCATACTGTCGTATACGAGAAGCGGTTCTCGATCTTGACTCGTATCGAATGTTCACTGATGACTGTTGTCTGTTCGTTGTCCTGAAAGTGCTATTTCAAAATATCCATCGCTCATTATGAGTGTATGTGTTGTTCGCAAGTGCTAAACTTGTTTTCTTTATTATTTATCCCAGTCATAGATCAGCTCATTCATTTATTCACCGAACGCTCCCGTCAAAAACTGAGTCATCAGTCTGCACATGCCAATTTCGATTCAAAAATATTCTGATTAATTCCAGTCTCGACATGAGAGAATTCTATCAATAATCCCAACATCATACAGTATTATTTATAGTCATGATGTTCTAATCTTTTCACCTGCAATTTACATTAGTGACCATTATTAAAGCTTACTTTATTCACGCATATAACGTTGTAAATCCAGTCATCTGATCGTATTTGTCTACATTCTTTCTTTCACTCTATATAAAAACTAATAACAATAATACAATAATCATTCCATTAATTGCATTATTCATCGCTATCTCATTGTTTGGACCTCCATTTTATACATTTCGCAAATGAAGTGGAAATCAGATGATAAAATATTGAAATAATAGGTGCATCAAATGCGTAATGAAACCAGTCAACGTCTAGTGTCCGCACCAGTCAATCACTAACACGTACGCATTCTATCTGTCTTGACGTGTCATCTTGTTTACCGTAATACTGTTGAAGGCGTATTGATAAAACATTTTTTTAAAACCACCTCACTTTATACTACCTGACTCCTCCACAATGGACTCTTTTTAAAACACTTCGGATGCGGAAAGCTGCGTATAATACCGCTTATGTAATAACCAAATAACGATTTATTTTCATATGTAATAAAAGTATATGTACCATACTAAATAGTAGTAAATATGCAATGTAAAAACAATATATCACTAATATTATACTACAAAAACCATTCAACTGATTTCGCTGAGTCAAATACTGAGATGATGAAGGAAGAGCAGAGTGGATATACGTTCAAACAGATTCAGGATCAGCGTCAATAGCCTTGAACCAATGTCCACACTCGCATCTTTTTGGTGATCCTTTACGGATCATCATAAAATTCACATGACCACTATCTGGTTCACCTTGAAATTTGTTTACAAATTTAAGATTTACTGCAACAAAGTACATTTCATCATTGTGTCACTTGCTAGTCAATCGAAAAAATTGAGAATAGAGAGGAACTAGGGAGTGAATTCATCGCAGAAAAAATTCAAAAATTTGATGTACTCACACATGCATCCGATTATCCGTTCATTAAAATGAGATGGCACGAGATTGGGTTTTTCTCGTGTCGACGCTTCGGCTCGATAGTAAACTTTCGGCTCATATCGCTGCAACATTTTGCTGGTGATTACTGACAGAACTTTTTTAGAGGGCCTATAAACATTTCGAAAACGCACACGAATACGAAAACTTACAGTTGTGTGCTCAGTATGCATTCGATAAGGCTGCCTTGTTATGGATAACAAGGAGGCAAAATGAAAACAGACTATCTTTAGAAAAAAAAACTGAAATGCATAACTCGGAATAACATATGGAGACGAAATTACTTACATCGTCGCCAGCAAGTCGCGCGAGAAGCATTTTCTTCTCACGGCCAGTGGCCGCCTCCAAAGGATCAGGATCTTAAAAGATAATAAACTTCATTCATACAGTCAATGAAATAACTCACAAAATGATGACATCAGTTTCTTTAATGAGATGGAAAATAGCTTTAATTCGTCAGCTATTAATTGAACTGCACTGATAAGGATCTTATATCGAGCCTGCTTTCAACGATTTTCATAAAAATGAGAAGATGAAAAAAAACACTGACAATATCCATAGTCTTCAGGGTTGGCTTCTGTCGCAAATGTCCGAGAACGAAACACTGAAGCGACGCCTGGACGAAGTTTCGCTAATTTGAACAAAATTTTGTGAGCACACAGTTGAGCCATTTCAACTCTAAAACGCAAATAGATTCATGAAATGTTTCGCTAACTCAATCATTTTGCTCGGTTCATAAACCGGTTACAACGTAAAAATACTACTACACTAAATTTTAGTTCATGAAAACATTAAGCAATGCTAAGGAACGACTCGACCATGTGAATAAGAATGAACAATCACATAGCGCAGTTCATCTCTGCGATACACTCATAGTTCACTTCAACGGTCCTCGACTCGACAAATATTGAAATATTCGACAAATAACGCACAAAACCTGTATCATCTAAATGCAGAGATTTTTCTCATTTCATGAGATACTTCATATCAAATTCATTACAATGTCTAAGAAAAAAGTTGGGCACTTTCGCTGTTAGCGGGCGCCACCGCACACAAGTGAGTTGTTTAGTTCCATTATTGAAAAGGTAACTTCTACCCGCACAAAGACGAAAGAACGAGGAGGTACCAACCCACAGATACTTCAACATACTTCAATTCGACAGACATATATACCTCACCAAGTAAAAAAACGTACATTTACACAGTGGGATAGCACTTTGCCACTTGCATTGTGGCAGTTTGGCATGTTGAAAATGTAAGTTAAACTGCTCCCCTCAGAGTTGCGACATGGGATGCAGTTTATCCTGAAATTTGAGTGAATTGTTTAAATATTTTCTTGCTACAATTAGTGGGCAGCTGAAATGAGAATCATGGGTGCTAGTAACTGTCACCTTAATGCTGGATCATCCGCTAAGGTTTGTTCATTCATACCTCATGGAACGTGCTGGCAAATACATGCACAGAGTAGAATCGATTTGAGTATAGCAAATATGCATTGTGCTTTTAAATTTTTTTTTAATAGCGGACTTTATTTAAATTTTGCACATCGTAAAACTAAGTAAGCATATGGATTTGATTTTGATAGTTTGAACTTCATTTTTAATAAATCCATATTTTTTGGCTTTTTTTTTTTGAAAGTTTTCTAATGCTGCTGTAGAATATAGGGCTTACAGCTTTAAGTGAACGAAGCATATATGTATTATAGATGCGAGGTTGATCAATTATTTTGATCAGTTTATCATTTTAACTGGTTCTTCATAGAAGGGTTCCAATGAGGGTAGGTGTGTAGGGAGCGTGAAATTGCCTAGCCCGAGCCTGACCTGGATTTGACGAGGCAGGAAGTACCGGAGCAAGGATCAACCGAGAGTTGCCGTATACTTAGTCTTATTCCTATTTTGACCCGACAGTTCTTGGCTCGACATAGCAAATCACAAATGTTGCTCCGACTCGACGATTCCTGGCCTGCCCAGCAATGCCTGTGAGTTGTTATCTCGGCTCGGCCCGGCCCGGCCCAGCTAGTTCCGGCTCGGCAATTCCACACTCCCAGTTGTGTATTCCTATCTTCAGTTGTTACAAATTGCCCTACGAAATTTCCAGCCCTTCCCTCCTTTACTCCCAAAAATTCCCCCTCCTCCATTTTCAGACGCTCAACGAGTTCGTCTAGTTCGCTCAACGAGTACATTTTTTTCTTTTTCAGTCTTCCTCTTCCTCTTCTCAGAACCCTATTCCTGCTCATCCTGAAACACCAGCCGCATCTCTACTGTAATTTACAGGAGCTGTGTCGGGGATAAAAAAGCGCCGATGAAGGAATAAGTGCTTATGAAGTGGAGGAAGAACCAGGGAGTGGTAGGGCTTGCGTATAGAGCGTGGGAGAGGGTAACTAGGAAAGATGAGGTTTCATGGGGAAATGGAAGGTTGCTCGGGGAATAGGAAAATTCCCAGAAGGCGAAAAGGATCCCCAGAGAAGGGACTGCAAAAATGGAACAGAGAGGATTGCAAATCCCATCTCAGTGGGGTGTTTGCTCCCGACTAAGGTTAGATGCCCTTATCTCTACCTTCAGCCGAAGGTAGGGCGACTATCTTCGGTTGAGGGAAGCTTCAGAGGCACCATGTGAGGGCATTCTCAGCAAATAACGAGAATTAGAGGAAAATATGGCGATGGATTACATTCGGGCTTATGCACTGGTTGAGACTCATACCGGCGCCGAGATATCTATGCAGCAATCGGGTTGAGGTATCTGTTTAACAGATAGGTGGGTCGCCGATGTGAACCTTAGGTTAAGCCTAAGCCCATACATAATTCATCGTTATCGTTCACTTTGGTTATCGCTGCTTATCTCAACCGAAAGCAGCTATCAGTCTCAGGACATCTGCATGCTTTCAGCTAAGGTCAGAAATATTTCCACTCAGGGGCACAAAGCGTGGAACTCACGTAGATCGTTGCGAACTTCCAAACCTGACATCATCCACCCACCTTTAGTAAGTAGATCTACGCTGAAATATCTGAAGAACGAGTTTTTTTACACACGATTTTATCTGTCGGTATTCGTGTCATGAGTGGTGAAATGAAATGATCACAGATTAAAATAATTAGATCGGAATCGTATATTCAAATAAGGTTCGATAATAACAGACTGAAATGCATGTTAAATGATCTTACGGGATCGTTCCCGAGGTGTATCCCAATTTTACTCAGTCACATGAATATTATAAAGCGGTGCTCTTAGCAGCGATGAACAACATAGCCATGAATTAGAGTTGAGTCACTAGTCACCGCTCGAAATCAACTGATGGTCAAACTTTACCTTGTCTTTGAATACCAATATAGTGTCAAAAAGACGCGTCGGTTCCGAACTCCATCGAGAAGTTATTTCCTGTCCATCCTTTATAGCAGTGTTTTTAAACCTTTTTTCCCCTTCGCACTCTAAAAAATTTTAA